CCTGAAGCCCAGTCAGAGACCCTCACGCGCGTCTGCTATACACGCGTCTGGGCTTATGTTGATCAGCTTGCTCGATCACTCAGCTTGCTCGATCACTCAGCTTGCTCGATCTCTTATCTGATCGATTGATGGGTAGCTCGAGCAGTCTGATCGAGTACCAGGCTACTCGAACGCCAGTGCAGTCGAGCTTTGGGTTGTTCGACCGCTTACGTGGTCGAGCCCTGGGGCTGCTCGATCCCTTGGATTCCCGCCTCTCGGCTTGGTTTGCTCCCGGTCTGCTCTTCTCGACCGGCTCACCAAATCGGTTCGTCCTTATACAGATAATATCCTATATCACAGTCCCAGTATTCTTTTCCAACTCAGATTATCCTATCCTAAGTGGGCCATTTTTAAGCTTATGCAATCCCATTTGCAGTCTTGGTTCTAGAGATTATTATCATGTGTACCAGTTAAATAATAAAATATTGTATATATACCTTAAAACCCTATATATTTGTATATGTACGAGATAAACACGCCTACATTAAAATATTAATTGCACAGGGTCCTCTCTCTCTCTCTCCCCTGCAAATTTTGCGGTCCTCTCTTTCTCTCTCCTTTTATTAAATTTGCGGTCTTCTCTCTCTCTCTCCCCGGCAAATTCACTGTAGCGACAGAACAAAAAAAAAAAAAAGAAACAGATATAGATTGCATCGTCCCCCTGTAAATTCATTGTATCAAAAGAAAAAAAAAAAAACAGATCTAGATCATGAAAGGTCGATTCCACATCTGATTCCGACCCTTTTAGTCGGACCTCGGCGACAACAGTAAAAAAAAAAAAATCATGCCAACAACACCTAAAAAATATGTCTGCGCTGAATACATATTCTGTGCATGTTCTGTACATGTTATGTACAAGTTTTGTATATGTTCTGCAATAAAACTAGATCGACGATGAGGAGATGTATATGTTCTGTATATGTTCTGTAACTGGGAATATCTAAGTTATGTTTTCATATCATCAACATAGACTGATTTTTTGATATCGTGTATATTGTGTATATTTTCATCTCGTGTTTTCTCGTACGTTTGAATTTTCAAATTTTAACTCTTTTTCCATTAGATATGAACAAATAATATAAATTATTTGGTAAAACACACTACCTTATCCACTCTTTGCGTGATTGTAGGAAAGTGAATTAAGAAAGTAACGTAAGTTTATGTTTTATTAACAAATAAGAGCAATTCAATAGGCATCCATGCAATTAAGATCTTGACCCTCGTATTTTTACAATTTTTTTTTTAAATCTTGTGGTATGTACAAAATTTCGCCATTAAAATGGAAATGTTTTTTAAATTCAAAACTAAAAGCCCAACTTAAAAATATATATATATATATATGTACAAAATAAATATAGAGAAAAGTTTAAAATGGAATTTTTTTTTAAACACTTTAACGTTAAATTCGATAATGATAAAAATACATACAATTATATATTATACATATAAAATTGATGATAAAAATTCGATTATTTTGTATATAGAGAAAAGTCTTTATATATTATAAAATTAACGACAGAAATATATGCAATTAAATATTATACATATAAAATAAATAAAAATTGTACATTAAATAAACCAGTTCGATAATCAGTGGACCATTGAATATAGCTTTAATGCTGATGTTTCGATTTTCAAAATATTGTATTACACCTCAAAGCTGTCGTCTCGTACCGATGTGGAGGTGGCCAATCAACAGGCTGAGGCCCGGCCTGGCCCGGCCCGCCGGGCCACAGGCCTTCCAACACACGGCCTGCGACAAGCCCGCTAAGAACCAAGGGCCAGTTCTATGAACCGCCCGAACCGCCAGTGCACGGGCCGGTTCACGAGTTGGGACGGCCCTTAAAAAAATAAAAAAAAAAATTAACAATGTGGCCTGCCGTTTGTCCCGGCCCGGCCCGGCCCAGACCGACGGGACCAAAATACAAAGAAAATAGAATTGGGACCGAACCGCGACCCTACGAGTCCGATTCAACGAACCGGCCCTTAGGAGGCCGGTTCGGGCCAAGCCAGGGCTGGTTCACAGGTAAGTTCACGGGCCGGTCCAACACGTGGACATGTCTATACCGATTTGTTTAATTTGTTTAATTTTTTGTAGAGTATACAACAAAACCCCATTCATGATTCATTCACTCTCTCGGCCCTCGTTCTCACCCATTTGTCGTCAACCACCGTTTCTCGAATCTACTGCCATGGCACTCTCTCGCTGCCTGCTCGCGCTTCCGCCGGAAACTCCAGAGCTTTCAGCTACTCGGTCCTCTGCCTCCGTTGTCAGCCCATCGCTTTCAGTTCCCAAATCTTCCAGTTCGCACAACCTTAGAGCTCGCAATTTCTCCTTTTCGCCCAATCCACTACGATCTTCGTTTCGAGGTAGTTAATCAGTTTATGTTTCACATTTCAATTGTGGGTTTTCTTCTTTTCGTTGTGTTAGCTTTACTGCGCGCTTGTCCATTTTTTTTATGCGTTGGTTATGGTGGTTTCTTGTTCTGTTAATGTTGTACCTTTTACTTTTTTTGTACTAATCGTTTTCTGTATTGTGCTGCTAATGCTTGTTCTGGATTATCAAGGTAAACTTTTTCCCAGTTGTCTTGTTGTTCGATTATTAATTGTTTGATTGTTTGATTGACAAATCTACTAGTATTTTGGAAAGTGGCTTGAGTTTCTTCAAATGCTTCATAGGTATAGTGTTAAGATGATTCCCTTCAGTTAGCAGTTGATTTGCTCACTGTTTTTCTCCTGATTTTTCGTTATTGACCGACAAATCTACTTGTACTTTAACACATTGAACTTTTTGTTAAGGCATTCTTTCATGTATTATTGTTCTATTTCAATATCCTGGAGGTTAGGTTTTGTCTGTTTCGGCTGATTTCAGATGATAATGTGCTCGTTTCTTTCGTTTCCAGTGAGATTGACTCCACAGGGATTTGAAATGAGCCCACCTCCGGATGCCTTTACTGAGTTTAACAAGTTGCTTCTTCCAGTCGTCGATCGCAATCCTTATCTTACGGAGGGTACAAAGCAGGTATTTCTTTCAATCCTTTTACTTTTATTCCACTTATTTTTCTTGATGATTTTTACTTTTATCTCGTATCCACTAATATGTGTAATCAGCAAGTCAAGTATCATATGTGTTTGGATTTTAAGCCATGCAGTTTCGTAAGTTGGTTGAATGCTGCCCTGGCGCGGTGGAGTCATTTGTCTCGCTCTGTAGTTTTAACGTGTTTTTCTTTTCTTCGGGTTCATGACTTAACAGTGACGAATTGCAACCTGTTAGAAACTTCAGCTGTTGGTCTGTCCTCTTCATGTTAATGTAGTTGTCTTTTTCGGAATATTGGTCAAAGCACTGAAACTGAAGTTTCATATGTCCTAGTTAAAAAGTTTTTTTTTTTTTCATCCGTCTCTGATGAATATTTAAGCACTTGCCTCTTTGTGATTCTTTTTAATTTTCTTTTTAGAGTCGTGATTATTTTGCTAATAATATTTCGATTAGGCCACCAGCACCACTGCTGCTTTGGCAAAGAAATATGGGGCTGAGATTACAGTCGTAGGTATGATTGCGAATCTACCTCTGTATATTTGACAAGTCCTCGCTTGCTTGTTATCAAACCATTTTCTCATATTCGAGAAATATACTTGAATGTTATTTGCAGTTATCGACGAAAAGGAGAAAGAAACTTTGGAGAACCATGAGACTCAACTAGCTACCCTTCGGTGGCATTTGTCTGAAGGTAGGTTTCGTCATGATCAGATTACCATACGTCTCTCAAAGATAGGCCTATATTTTCTTAACGCAGATCGATAAGTTGGTTTATATAAGTTTATTGTTTCTTTGTTTAATATAGCTACAAGCTTATCGTTGTATGTGTGTGTTTTTCTGATAAAGTCGTGTGATTAATAATGTTGCAGGTGGCTTTCAAGAATTTAAGCTTTTGGAGAGGCTTGGAGATGGAAAGAAGCCAACAGCTATAATAGGAGAGGTTGCGGATGAAATGAATATGGATCTGGTGATACTGAGCATGGAGGCCATACATTCCAAACATGTCGATGCCAACTTGCTGGCCGAGTTCATTCCCTGTCCCGTTTTACTTCTTCCTCTGTGATATGAATTTGAAAAATGCAAATTGTTTATTTAAAACGTTTGAGGTTCACAAAAGCAAGTATTTGGTGCTCCGATGATGAATGCAATAGAGAAACAGTTTTTAGTCTCGCCAATAATTAAAAATCTAGAGTAATTCAGAAATGAATAATTTACTTTGTGGATGAGTAACAACTTTTTGGGTAACCAAATCCAACCTATGTTCTTGCAAAATCTCGCCGAAAGATACCTCTACTTTCCTCCTTGAAGTTGGAGAGTATCGCCATCAGCGGGCTTGGTCGATTGAGGGGAATTGAAAATTCTAGGGTTACGGACAATTGTGAATTTGGGTCTATTTGAGAAGTTGAAGGTGTATATGGTGACTGGAGGAGATATTCAGTACATTAATAGTTAGTAAACTTACAAACAAAAATAATGTACTGAATATTCTCCCGCATGGTAAGCAACAAAATCACATTTCACATAGATTTAGCTTGCGAAAAATATAGGGAATTTGATTGGAATTTGATTGGTATCATCGTTTTAATATTTCCATATTTCGGATCATGTCCACCACCTGAATAATTATTTACATACGGTTGCAAGAAAAAAGAATGCACGCCCTTTTTTTTTTAAAAAATAATTTGGTTTTTTATGTGTTATTTATTTTTTGGTATATATTGCATTTATAGTTAGTTTATATCTCAGGTGTTTTGCATGCGCAGAATATATGCGTTTATAGTTAATATATACTCAGTATATGTTGCAATAATATTCTATTATACCAAAAAAAGAAAAAGCAAACTGCTAACGTCAAGTAGATAAAAAATCATGTACATTTACAGTACATAAAACAAGTTGAAATCATACTCGTGTACATATACTAAAAAAGACATTGTAGACCTTAACATATACTAAAAAACAGTATATTTGTCGGGAACATAAAAGACATATTCATTATATACAGATGACATTGTTGGTGTTGTGGCCCAAATGACATTTAATTGATGGCCCAATATCCTAACAATTCTCTGGCCCAATCTCTTTGGCCTGAGCCCGGTTTGGCAGCCCATTAAGATCTAAAGTGATCTTGGCCATTCGTACTCTAGTTACCAGATCTTGGCCTTTTATTCCCTTCTTTTTATAACCAGTTGAAGCCCTAAGAGTTGAGTCAACCTTAGTAGCCATCAGATATAACGTTCAGAGAGCTTGAGAGTTTAAAACTGCTAAATATGGGTAACAACCATCAGATAATTAGGCCTTGAGAATTCAAATTCACTCGCAGCCATTGAAAAAGGAGCAGCCCTAAGAGTTCAAAAACTCCACGCAACTGCATTTTGAAATTCAAAATCTGATCCGATTTTCAATCTCTCTGTTACTCTCTTGCTTACAAATACTCGCAGGAATCTTGTGAAGAAATGTAGATCCTATTTTTCCCTCTGTTGCTTACTTCTATCGCTCTCTCCTATTCTCTTTTCCGACTTGGTGTCTAGTGAACCAATCCTCTCTTATCCTATTGAATCTTGGTGATTATACGATTGTGAGTGTGTTAGGGTTCTTTAGTGTGTGAGCCGAGCGATATTGTGAGAGGGATTTTGGGGGGTTTCGGGTACGGGCTGTCTTTCGGGCCGAGAGTTGTGCATCGATAGGTGGTGTTACCCTGGGTTTACAGTGCCAGAATTATTGAGGCCAAGGGTCCAAATTGATCGGTTCTTTTCGGCTATTCGGTGACTCATTTTTTGGGTTTGACAAGAAGGGGACTGAGCCTGCTCTATATTGAACTATCTTCGTAGCAATCGGGCCTCATTCCGAAAAAAGAGAAAAGGTGTATTCGTTCCACTTCATGCTTTGTTTAATTTCAGCTTTGTCAATTCATTTATATTGTTTGATTGCTGAAATTTGTATATTTATTGGTAATTTTCGTTTTTGTCTTGAAGCGAACAAACCGGAACTTGGTCGAGCCAGAAAGGTTGCTGTTCTGGAATTAAAAGTTGCTGTCCGGGACCTGCTGATTGCTATCCGGGCTCTGCAGGGACTGTCCGAGACTTATTGGTTGTTGTCGGGGCCTGCAGGTTGTTACCGGGACGAACCAGAGGCTGTTCGGGACGATTCGGGGCCAGCCCGGGCCCGACGAGTCGAGCCAGACGACCACCCAACAGTGGTATCAGAGCCTGGCTCTTGCCAGGTCGTTTGCTCGCCGCCACAGGTAAGTCGAGTTCCTTTTCATAGGGCTCGCTCAGGTATATTGACTGAAACTCGTTCTCTTTATCGCTTTTGTAGTGATAGCCCCTGGCTGGGGATTGTGTGTTGGGAACGTGCTGGTAGATTTCTAGGATCTTTGTGATTTGTGTGATTATCGCTTTGCTGTCAGTCGCATGCTTATTTGATTTATCGCTTTTGTAGTGATATTCCGCTGTGCTTTATTTGCTCTGTGTAACTTCGTGTGGAACAGTTACTGTGAGATTTGTATCTTTGTGATATCTTAGTAGTTGGCATATCTTCTAGGTGAAATTTGCTTCGTTGTGATTTTCTGTGCAAAAACTTGTGTGTTTTTTGAAAATGGGATCCGTGTCAGCTTTTAGCTTAGTTCCCTTTGATGGAAAATCCGATTTTGGTATTTGGCAGCAGAAAATGAAAGGTATTCTTATTCAACAAAAGGTGTTTAAAGCAATTGACCTTTCCCATTCTGTTAATGTGTCGGCCGAGAAAAGGGCTGAAATTGATGAGTTTGCTTATTCTTCGATTATTCTGAACTTATCTGACTCTGTGTTAAGAAAAGTTGGTAAATTGGACTCTACTAAAGAACTTTGGGAAAAATTAGAGGAATTATATACTGAAACTTCTTTGCCAAATAAGTTGTTTTTGCTTGAGAAATTTTTCCGGTTCAAACTTGATTTGTCCAAAGATA